CATAGACTTCGACAGGGACCTCTGTATAAGGGCATGTCCTGTATAAGAGGGTGATCAAGTCTTGACCCCAGTTCACCCATAGCATGCAGTGGTCAAACACAAGAAAGTTCTGTACCGAGCGCAAAACTTCCACACACTCCTCCCAGTTCTGCTTTGAAGTTTGGTCATGACCATATACCCACCTGATTGGCTCTGCATAATCAAAATCTCCGTCGCTGTTCCATGCTATGAAGGAAACCAGTAAGTAAGAGGTGTGAATGATCTCGAAAGATTGATACTAACTTGTGTTGCATACTGTTGCCAACGACTCAAACTTACTAGCAATTGAGTCTGACCAATCAATCACTTGGAGAACTTCGCATCCAATTCGGCGTAGCTCCTCTTGACAGCTTCGAACCTTCAGATAGGCCTGGATGCCATCTTTGGTAGATGAATTCACGGCCCAATCTTCATCTGGGTGCGTAAGATGACCAAAGTTCCAGAAGGTGTCTTCAATGTCCATCTTCTCTACAATTTCGAGGCTAGGACATTCTATCGGATTGTGATCGGGGTACTTGTCATTGTATTTGGAGACCTGGGTGTGATAAGTATTCCCCTTGTTCTTCAACAGCCAATTCTTATTTCTCATCTGCTGCTTGAAAGAATCTTGAACCTGAGTACCTGAGATGGAAATTTCAGTATAGGATGTCAGTAAGCAAAAGTGAGGAAAAAAATACATACCTAAGCCAGGTCGATCCCATCGCTTTTGCAGTTCAATCACCCCAACTCTGGCTTCGTAAAGTTTGGATTTAGCAATCCGGACTCGGATACGAGCTCGTCCTCTCGCGTCTAATGACCACAGTTATGGTCAGATTGATGATAATAAAGGATAATGGGATGTTACTCTTACCTTTGACCCCAGGGATGTTTTGAAAGTCGGAACCTCCTAGCTCTGCAACAACTTCATTAATCTCCACCTTCAAAAAGACTAAATTGGTTGGCAGACTAGCCAGCTCTGTGTTTTCTTCTTCGGTCCGGGTTCTTCTGCGCTTCTCAGAAAGTTCTTCCAGCCGCTTACTGTTTTTAATCAATGAGTATGATAGGCATGTTTCTTATCTTGAAAGAAAAGAGACTTACAGTGATATACGCAACTGCTCTTCGAGCTCAATCAATCTCTCAAGCTGAGAAGTTAGGTCAGCCAGAGCATTATTGCCCAGAAGATCAAGCTGAGCTGTGCGTTGTCAATTCCACTGGTCAGCATAATACTCAGGCAATCTACCTTCTTGCTCGCATAAGTCCGCCAAAGTCTTTTGATTTTCTGCTAGCTCTTTCTTGTATTGATCCAATTTGGACATAAACCATTTCACTGCGCGAAAAAAGATGTTATGAATAACCTAGACATAACTTAATATTGAAAATTTGTAAATATACAAATAAATAAGTAGAAACTCACCTGAATTTTGAAGGCACAACCGATTCATGTGATTGGTTTTCATATCTATAGCTACCAGCCGGTGTAAACTTGTTGCGTATCGAAGAGCCGGAATTAGTGGGGAAAGCTTGAACCAATTGCGTTCAGATCCTTCACCATCCGATTTCCCCCAGCCCATATTCTTTCAAGGGTCATAGGCGAGCTGACATCCGTAATTGTGGGCATAGGCGTGGAATGCACTGGTAGCAAATTTGATTCTACCAGCCAGTCTTTCTTCCTCGAAGAGGTTGTGCTACGAGAAAACAAAATTAGTTATAATTTGAACAAAACATGTTTAGTCAGACCTTACACGTATGAGTCCTCTCTCCAGATTGCAACCAATATCATACAGCACCCCTACGGTTTCAGCTGAGCCATTGGCTGTGCGTAATTGGTCAAACAACCAGTCGATCAAAGCGTGAGCATAATAAGCTCTTCATATACAAACAAAAAGATGAATAAAATCAATTCATATCACATATAATGAAAATTCAATGGATCATATGTGGAAGAGGACGAACCTTTCACCACTTTGTACCACATTCACATATTGCAGGACATTGTCGTGTCTACAGCACATAACCAATAGACCTGTGTCATCGCAGGCTTGCCATGATCGTCCATTGTGTTGGTCGTTTGCCGCAGTATGCTTGGTTGTACATGTATCCTTATTGAGCAGAAACATGCAAAGATGTCAGCTTATGATCTGCAAATGAGTATGACTCCAGAACTTACTGTAGTCAACGAGCGGTTCTGATCTGGCTTTTGAGCCCACTTCTGGATCCGGTCTTCTGGTAAGAAAAGTGGTGGACGTTGAACGTGAATGCTATCCAACTCAACACTGGCAGACTTATGTCGTCGTTGTTGGAAGTTACAATCAAGGCAAACAAGGACCTCAGGTTCTTCTTGGTGAAGGGTCCCCGAATATTGGCCAAAACATCTGGGGCAAATCTACTTCAGTTTCTCAAACGAAGTCAGTTGAAGGCATCGATCGGAGAGCTGTTTTTCCAAACGTAACATCTCCCGATAAGCGTCGACCGCAGCTGTAAGGTTAAATCGCCACGCTCTGGCCTGCAAGTCAGAAGAATCTGAATCAACTTTGAACAATTAGTGACTTAAGCAGAAGAGATACTCACGTATTTCCCTTTCCGTGACCAAATGATTGCATTGCTGATGTCCAGAAACTCGTCAAGAGCCTGGGCAAAAGGCTGCAATCGAACATTGCAGTACTTCCAAAGAAAATGATGGAAGCGAAGGAGACGAATAGAAAAAGCTGTTTGGGGATGAACAGGCGTTCCCCCAATGAATCCCATCTTGATCAACCTGACCTGATCATGTTGGCACGAGCAAAACATGACTCCAACCCTTCTTCGACCTGTAGGTAATCAAAGTCCGTTAGTAATCCTATAACCAACACAGAACCAACACAGAGATAGAATAAAAATCTCACTGAATATGTCAATCAAGTCTACACTTCGAGTGACTTTCTTCCGAGTGTTGCAATAACATGATGTGGTAAAATCATGATTCCATGTGTCCTGAAATCCCCAATGCGTCGTCTTTGCACGACATTTGAGAAAGTTCAGAAACATCACCCCTGTGATATCTTTCCACTGCCGAGCCTCCCGAATCCGGCAGGCTTGGTAGGTGTCATTTGTAATCAGTCGAATGTAAGCTTCACCAGGTGCATTCTCTGGTTCTGACTCCAAATCAGAGAACGTATTTGACGAAGTTTCTGAGAGTTGTTCATCGTAATCGTTATTGTTCATAATACCGATCTGATGATCGATTTCATGAGGGTCAAAGGGGTTTCCGTTCTTGTCAGGTTCTGGTTGTGTGATAGCTTGAGAAAGTGTTTCGATGAAAGGACCGGTGTATTCAAACTCCATTTCTTCAAGTTCCTCAAGTTCACGAGCAAATTTGCCCTTTTGCTTGGTTCTGGGGCGCTGGACTCAAGGACCTAGGGGACAGGGGATTCGTGAACCTGACATCTTGATTGGGGATTTGGCAGGATCTTTCAGACACACCAGTGTCTCTCATAGATAAGTGTTAAAATGACAGCCTATCACGAAATTCCACGGTGATTGACAAGGCCCCTGGATCTGCCAAATGTTTGATTGAATGATATCAGATGATTTCCTACTTAGTTCATATTGAGTGGCCCCTGGATACACGGTATCTTTGACTTGGAGTATATCCCAATTAGGAGTAATTGAAATTAAAAGGCCTGTTTCTGTGACTCCCAGAATTTTTTAATTGCACTCACTCAACGTCCCTTGTGGGCAATATGTTAGGGTTAACATGGTCACTCTTGGCCACGTGACTATGTATAATATTTAGTCAGTAATAGAAACCCATCAGTATAAGTATACTTACTACACTTTTACTGTTTTTGCAGCTTGAAATGCAGAAAAGAGGGGCAAGGAGAGGAGCTGTGAAGTGGATGAATAGAGATAATATGTTCACCTTGAGGAGAAGCATCCAGGATTTTGCGGGCGCTGAAACTGGTGGTCATCTTCAATGAGATATGTGTGTGGTTTGATGAAGAGCGGGAGGCATGAGGGTGCAAAGAAAGTGTTTGAGTGGAAAATCTGTGATGAAAGAGTTTCCAAATGGGAAAAGTGTCTTATTAGACTGGGGTTTAATTTCAATTTTGTCACTGGGGGGGAGAGATAACAGCATATTTCCATGATGTTCAATGAGATATGTGTGTGGTTTGATGAAGAGCGGGAGGAATGAGGGTGTGACAAAGGTGTTTGAGTGGAAAATATGTGATGAAAGCGTTTCCAAATGGGAAAAGTGTCATATTAGACTGGGGTTAAAATTCCATTTTGTCATCTGGGGGAACAGAAAACAGCAAATTTCCATAGTCTTCATTGTATATGGGAGGCCATTATGGGACAATATTCCACTACCAAACTCTGCCATTCCTTGGCAGTGGTTACTTAGCTCATCATTTGAACATAAAGCACATGCTCAATGCTCTCACGTATAATTATGTCACAGTGTTATGCTCAGACAGTTGAGACGAATCAAATTGTCACTGTTGAGATATCAGACGATTCTATGATTATTAGTGATACTTCCTTCTTGCCAAGCAAGATTCAACTGTTGTTGACACAAATCGAGTGTCCAGACTAAGTGAACATATATGTTCAGAGCTGCTACAATACATATGTACATACAATTGTAGCAGCTCACTCCAGCTCCACGCTAATCTCCAAGTGTTTGTTCAATGTTGACATCAACCTTCCTTGTGTCAAAGTAATATGATGTATTGAATGTGCCTAAAATATAGATCTTGTTTGTTTTGCACCCTCATCTCCACGCGCTTGTCGGCCTCAATTAAGTAATCTCAAAATGTAACCCGGAGCCACAAAATGATTTATACATATCACGGGTGGTATAAATTTTTGCAGCGCCAAGTAACTATCACCAATTTCCACATCGTCTTATTTTCTGTAGTTGACTCCAAAGTTTTTGATTGTGTCATTTGAGTCCCTGGTGCGTACTTTTTAAACTCCTTCTACAACTTCTTGTTCAGAAGTTCACAAATACAAAGGCTGATTCAGATCAATCATGATTTGGTATGAGACTTCATCCATCTTTGTCGTAATGAATCGGCATGTTTAATTATGTAATTTCATTATATTTCATTAGATTGATTCTGAAGTTCCAAGTCACTTATCAGTCATAACCTGTTTCATCCAGCTGTGAGAAAAGAAGCTAGTGCGACATATCTGGGGTACCCAGATTGATCTAAGTATGTATGAGGTAGGCACATAAGCGGGACTGATTGGATCAAATCAGATACATCTGGACAGATGTATCTGGGTCAGATACATCTGGACAGATGTATCCGGGTCTCACATGAGATACACTAGATACTAGTTGGTGTCACGTGAGATACATCTTGTATACGATGAGATACCTCTTTACATCTGGCTAGATATCTGGGCATCACGTGAGATACATCTGACCTTATGTATGTAGGTATCTCCGGTTGACACCTGGAAATCGGACTACAAACCCAACCCTCCCCAACAAACCACTTCAGCTTCTTCCTTGGTATCAATCTGTCATCAACAGCTTATCATGCGGAACACTCGATCCAGATCAGCAGCACCGAATTCTAATTTCCGAACTCCTGCTCCTTCGAGGTCCACCTTGCACAACAAATCCCAAACCTAAAAACGTGGTTTAGATACAGAAGATTGAAATAATGAACACTCAAAGGCAAGCAAGAAAAACAAGAGAACTAAGCAACCAGCGCCAGACTCAAGCACTGCAACCAACGATCAAGTTGTTCCAAATACCCATCACTCTTCTCCCACTTCTCCTCAAGTTTCGCCACCTCCAGCTCCAGCCACTGTCAAAGATCTTGATCAAACAATTCGTGACAATATTGAAGAATTTGACCGCACGGTCAATATCGACACCTGGGGTCAAGTTGCGCGACAATGGACCGGCACGTGTGTCAAAGCTCTCATCAATGGAAGAAAAAAATATGCATCACGAATACCATCCGAAGTTATTTCAGCTGCCAAGATAGCTAGGGCAAACTATCGCAAAGCGAAACTCATGTTGGCCGGAATTGCCAAGGTCAAATTGGAGACATTGGATCGTGAGCTGTGAGTGAACCAATTTCGGATATTTTGACACTTTCCAAACTAATTCATAACAGTTCTTTTCAAGTGGTGAAGGAGCTGTTCCTTGGGGTCAGGATGACTTCCGTCGTTTCATGGCATATGGGAAGGATTCACTCAAGTTACGAAGTAAGTCATTTCGATATTTGTCACCTTATAACATAATATTAATGTAATTGTGTTCGTTCTTTTAGTGCCCAATAACCCTGAACAGAGGATGGTGTTAGCTGAGCAAAACAAAAAGGCTGGAAGGCTTTGGACAGAGGTTTATACTCGTCAACAAAGGAACGTCTTCAATTCCAAGTTTTTTTTGCCTTAGCGGGCATTCCCAATACCCAGGAGGCTGATGAAAAGGAGCCTCCTGCCGAAGGATCGGCTCCGAAGGTTCCATCATTGACTCCGGAAGAAGAAGCTCAATATCGCCCCCTCTATGACAAACTGGTTGCACACGAAAAAGTCATTGAACAACAAGGCCGCCCAACTTCTGATAAGGATATCAACAAACGCTCCTTGAAGCGTGTTCGCCAGTTGGGTAAAATTGTAAGTCTCCTTAATCTTTATTCTCTGTTCTTGCTGCTGCCTCATTGAACTACATGACCTTGTAGCTTGCTCGCGATGGTGATCGATTGAATTTCAAATACGTTTTTCTGGCATCAAGTGCCCATCCTCCATCTGCCAACAGCGGGGCTGGGTGGTCTAGACAATTCACATCTGTGCCAGCCATCACGAAGTGGGCCGATCGCGAAATTGGACTGTTGCCTGTCTTTGCAACGGTGGCCCAAGGAGAGTCTATGATAAACACTATAACTCGTAATCACAATCAAAATGACAAGAAGTCAAAGGGTCCTTCAACTCATGCGCCACAACCTAGTGATGTCTTGAAAACTACACTTGCAAATACTTTGAAGGAAAGAATGAGTAAGTTTTGTCCTTTCTATGTGACTATAAAGTGACCGCACTTACTATTTTTTTTTAGTTGCAACCCTTGGCTATTGCCCAACTAGGGGCAAAGGGTTTCCTCTAACTGCTGACCCTGTAGCCGGACTTGTCAAACGCAAAGTGCCGGTCCGAATCGTACAAGAACCAGGATCAAAACTTAGTGCTGAGGACTTGAAGTTTGGTCATAAGGCAATGCCAAAGGTCAACCGACAGGAATGGTTGGATGATTTAATTAGTAATCATTTCCGGTTGGAGCTGGTGGAGGGTGTGGAAAAATCAGCTTCGAAATCAGGAGAAAATCAGCAAGTTGTGTGGTCCAAAGGGAAAGGAAAGCGCACCAGTAAAATCAAGTCAAAAGATATAGTTAGTGACAATGAGGAAGAAGAGGAGGTTGATGAAGACGAGGAAGAAGAAGGAGAGGAGGATGATTGTATCGATGATGATGATGATGATGACAACGATGATGATGATGATGATGGTAATGGGGACGAACTCGATGATGATGATGATAATTAGAAGGAGAGTGAGTATAATTATAGGTCCCTGGTTGTTATCAAGTTACGAGTCAATCTAGCAGTACCCTTTGAAATTTTGTATGTTTCCCTACAAAATATATCAATGTCTATGGTAGATTTAAAGACGTGTTTGAAGTTTTATTCCTTCTGTTCTATTTTCTTTCTGTCATACAAAGAGGTATTCAGAATAACAAAATGTTTTCTATCTCCTGTTGAATCTTGATATTTTTTCTGTCTGCCTATTATGGAATACAAAGTGATATTCAAAATATTACAATATTGAAAATGAAGACGAGTATTTTTGTTATTCTGCGAGGCCTTCTTTGGGTAAGGGGTTGGCTTCAGTCGTGTGCATGATGCCGGATGCATATTTTGATATGATTGTATTGTTTTATCGCCAGATGTATCTGTATTCCTATGTTATCTAGTGTTGCTCTTGTGTTTTCAAATTGATCTATGAAAACAGAGGCAGGTAGATCTCACGTACGTAGGTGAGCAGCTGGCCAGATGCATCTGACACAATCCAAACCTTGAGGCGGCTGCTCATATGCATCTGGGCCCAGATGTATCTGACCTGTCAAGGTGGCAGCTGGCAAACACATGGCAGCCCGGCAGCTTAGATGTATCTGACATCCTGGTCAGCTCAACAAATCACCTTTGGGAGCAACTGACCAGATGTATCTGACAAGCTGGGCAGCGGATGAGCAGCTGGCCAGATGCATCTGACGCAATCCAAACCTTGAGGCGGCTGCTCATATGCATCTGGGCCCAGATGTATCTGGCCTGTCAAGGTGGCAGCTGGCAGACACATGGCAGCCCGGCGGCTTAGATGTATCTGACATGCTGGTCAGCTCAACAAATCAGCTTTGGGAGCAACTGACCAGATGTATCTGACAAGCTGGGCAGCGGAGTCAGATTTTCGAGGAAGCAGTTGTCCAGATGTATCTGTACAGGTGATTAGCTCAGTCACACTTTGCCAAAGGAGGCAGCTATCCAGATGCATCTGGGTATCATTGTCTGGGCGCAACTTGGAATGTTTGAACCACTCAAAAGTGTCTTTATGGCACTTATGAGTGTTTCTATTGAATCAGGAGTGAAGACAGCGTGTTGGGAGACAATTTGACTTGGTGTTAAAGTTGACCACAGATGCGTCTGAAGAGTCTGATAAGGTCTGGCGTATGTTTTGCGGACTGTATCCGGCCTGCACACTCACGTTTAGGACAGATACAGTTTGTTCATTTATTGTGACACAGGTGGTTCACATATGGGTGAATACATATGGTTTTCTACAGTAATGGCATTCCCCCATATGTGACTGTCAGCAACCTACTTGAATCACTATATGTGTGCAGAGCAGTCACATATGGATGAGTGTTGTTTCTGCGTGAAAGCAAATGTGATTCAAAGTACAATTTACAGTACATTAATTCCGTAGGCCAAGGTCATATATGTAGATCAAGTTCATGACAAAAATTTCAAAGGTACATTCCCATATATGTCAACTTGATCCACATATGGTCTACCCTGTGTATGGATAAATCAAGATCACTAATTGTGATTCACCTATATGTAATGATGACTCGCATGGATATGTATAATTCAACTTTACACATTTGTGGGTTGCGTTCACACATATGTGATGATGATCAACATACAGGTGAATGTAATTGATATATGAATGTAAGTCACATATATTTGTAATTAACATATATGTGATAATGATTCACATACAGGTGAATGTAATCCATATTTGAATGTAAGTCACAAGTGGCCAAATGTGATGTACCTTGCGAAAAATAAATATCACATATAATTGTAATTCACATGTATGTGATGGTATCTCACATATGGTTGAATGTAATTCACATATACATATGTACACATGATTTTAAGTCACATATGGGTGTGGTATGTATCAACCGCCTGTGATGTAGCCTGTGATGTACAGTCCCATAAGGTGGGATGTTCACATCACGTTCACATATGGGTGAATATTCAAAAATCTGAATCAGTCACCTAATTTTGATGGGTTACGGTGCAATTTATGTGTTGTGGATCTGTATCTACAGGTCAAGGTACATGACTATCATATTTCTTCAATTCTTCAAGGTCTGTGGTCTGTGGTCTGTGTTGAGTTGTTTGAAATCTTTGATCCGACACGTCGGGAGTGTTGGCGCGTCGGTAGGGGAGCTTCCGGACAGTAGCCGACAGGAAATGCATGTTTTCCTCCGGATAATATCCAAAGCGTCCAGTAGACACAGGTTGTTATAACCTCATATTAGGATATGCTTGTATAGAGGAGACTGTTAGATTTAGTCCCACACGCTCAGACTGTTGTATCCTTATGCTTCAATCTCAGTTATCTTGTAATGTATTAATTGGCTATA